GGGGCGGCGGTGGCCGGGCGCGGGTCTGCACGGATTGTGGGAGCGCCTTGGTGGAGATTTGCGGGGATCATCAGCGACTGTGGGGTGGAACTGCTTGAGTAATGTGGGTAATGACGGCGTGGGGAGGGTCCCTCTGAGTAAGAAAAGGGGCTGTAGGAGCAACAGAGGGAGAGTGGTGAGGCTGTAGTGGTGATAAGAAGCCGTGGGAAAGGTCTGTAGAGGTAATCGGGGCCCATGGAAGGGTCAGAGGTGATGAGCCTGCGGAGAGGGTCTACAGGATTGATGGAGGACCTGGAGAGGTGGCGGGGGCTACAGAGTTTGGGGGACATCAGAGGGACGTCTGCAGAGGTGATGAGAGGTCTTAGAGACTACAGTGAGAGGTAAGGTGGGGCGGAAAAGGAGACGTGAGGGGAGAGCACAGCCAATATTAGGGGAAGGAGAGTATTTGGTCAGTGGGATTTGAGGAGGATCGGATGGAGTGTGGGGAGGTCTGTTAAGATAGCACAGGCGCATAATCCCATAACCCCTGTACATTGACAGCTCCTTCTTGAGTGCGATAAGCAGAAGGGCTGCAGGGTCTTGATACACATATGTTCACATTACTAAGTCACAAGTGCTGAAATGCAGCAGGCACAGAATGCCACTAAAACACAGACGCTGTTTTACAGCCACTCTGCCTGGCTGGGTGCAGGACTGTGTCTCTCAGGCTCATATTACCATATGTGCAGATTATTTTAAGTTCTAAAGGTGTAAATGGCACAAGGGAATTTCTTGGAGCCTCCTAATAGATCCTTAGAGTAAAGCTGTAAACAGCAGAGGCTCTAATGTGTGAGTTAAGTCTTGTATAAATGGAATAAAAACAGCCTAGGGTTATCTCTTTTGTCATCTGGCAAGCAGTTCTGACATCTGCCCTGTGAACACAATGACCTACTTAGCTATTCAAAGCATCTGTATCCTGGTAATTCAATTGTTACCTTATTAAGTCACTGCCTTTTGGGTGGAGAGGTGTGCCAAGCAAGGGACTGATTTTCTTCCTTCCTAGAAATTTGTTTATTAAGAGAGAAACATCCTGAAACGCTGTGTGCTGTTATGTGTGCCTTTGCTGGATGTCTTACCATGCCACAGCATCCCTGCCCAAGCTAGGATTTACCCCGGCTTGCTTGCCCGGCTGTAACACAAAGACAGTATGCATGTTCCCAAAATGAGAGCAGTTTGGGGGACCTTAATTTGCCTATGCAATTTGCCACCATTAGCTAGTTGAAATGCACTCCAAGTCTCATTGCAACATTTATTTCTGTTTTACCAGTTATTGCGTTGCTACCAAGATTATCAAGGGAAAGGAATATTACCGTGTATTGCTATGTGGTGGGTGGTTTTGGCTTTCCCTGTAGAGCACTTCACTGTAATGATATGACAGTGTGTGAAGACCAGCTTTGTCAACTTCTTGTGATTAAGTATACCCCTGGAATTAAGATCTCAGAGAATGTGTCCTACATACTGAAAATTTTCACCATGGCACTGCAGATAGTTGGGTGTACATGAGAGACAGGTGTTGACGTCACACAGAGTTGACCTTCAGAAAGCAAGAAAACAACAGAAACATGGGTGAGGATTGGATTTATTCAAGAAAGAGTTCCTACTTGAGGGTGAAGGATGGGAGGGGGGTGAGAATCAGAAAACTACCTATCGGGTACTATGGTCACTACCTGGGTGACAAAATAATTTGTGCGCCAGACCCCAGTGACACACGATTTACACATGCAGCAAACTTTTCATGTACCTCCTGATCCAAAAACAAAAGTTGGAAGGGAAAAAGAAAAGAACTAGGTATATTTTATATGTATGCGACAGTTTTAATTTAAAAAACTATATATACATATATATATATATGTATGCCTACTCTAAACCCTGATTGGATACAGTTGCTCAGAAAAATCAAAATATAGATACCAGTAAGATAAAACTATTTGTGGACATATACAAATGCTTTCTGGAAAAAAATGGCTATGCATTTGAGAATGCTTAATTCTTTGCAAAATATTTACATAAAATGTAAGTTACATCAGGCCGTTACAGCAAACAGAAGCTTTGTTAGGTCATATCATCAATGAAACATAATGAAGAATACAGGAGGAGCTACATTTTGTTGCTGACTTTAAAATGCTGTATTTCATCAATTCAGATCCAAGTTACCCGTCCAAGTTCACAGACATGACAGTGTGGAAGGAGTGCAAAATTAAGTGTAATGGTGTTTTAACCATAAAATGTTTCACTTTGTATCTCTGTCATAGAATCTCTTTGAATTCCCTTGTGGAGCAGTCCTATTCTTTTCCTTGCAGTAATAAAATTTTAAAAGTAGCCAAGCACAGTGGCTCACACCTGTAATCCCAGCACTTTGGGACGCTGAGGTGGGCGGATCACTTTAGGCCAGGAGTTCAAGACCAGCCTGGCCAACATGGTCAAACCCTGTCTCTACTAAAAATAGAAAAATTAGTTGGGCATGGCAGCATCTGTCTCTAGTTACAGCTGCCCAGGAGGATGAGGCACGAGAATCGCTTGAACCCTGGAGGTGGAAGCTGCAGTGAGCCGAGATCATAGGGACATCATAGGGATGTCTACAGAGGTGATAAGATGTCTCAAAAAAAAGTAATAATAAAAGTATAGGAGGCTGTTGCAATACTGGGAATACTAAAGAAAAAAAGAAAAAGCATAGGAGGAAAGGTTTTTCATAACCATTAAGCCTAAGCCATCATTGATTCCACATTTTCTCCATGTAAACTCAAGCACAAGCTCTACTTGCAAGTGGAATGTAATTGCTTTTCCTCCTTTTTAATATTGAGGCGCCTATAGAGAACGGTAAGACAAGACTAAAGAGCATTATCATCCTCTTTTCCACATAATTCTAGTGTCTATATTTCTCCTTAGTATCGCAGCACCATACCTGATCCACAGTGGTTCTGGTTTATAATTATGCTTCAAGCAAGCTTTTTCTAGGTATATCTGTCACTGTGAAACGAACTGGTGTATTCAAGCTAACATCTTGACATTATAAAGCTGTGAGAAAAAGTGTTATCATTACTTTGTTTTAGCTACAAGTGTGTTGGTGTGCAGCATGTGCCGGTATGAACAAGTGTGTGTGGTCAATCCAAAATGCATGTGACATGCAGGATTTGACTTCTAGACCACTGTCTAGGTGAATGGCTTGTCTCCAGTTCCAAATTCAGTTCTCCTGCAGGGAGCCTACACACTCCTTTTACTCGCACACATCCTGCTGAGAAGGATTTCAAAACAAACCTGATTTATTGGGCCTCTGACATAATATCACGATTGGAAATTTGTTCGAGTCCTGTTGTTGTAGTTTACTTTGATTGCTGAAATAATTTCCCACAATATGGTGTCTTGATGTTTTCATTTTAATAAAGTGATATTCTTTGGATAACTTTGATTTCACTACCTGCAAATAAAGAGCAAGAAAATAAGCAAAATCAAGAACATCTGAGCCCTGCATACAGCAGTAAAGTGAACTCTCAAATTTGAACAGCATCTCTGTTACACAGAGGTTGCCAAAAGTGCATGAGTATGACTTACATAAAACCGAGAACAGGGGTACTTAGGCTTCAAAAAAGGCCAAGCTTAAAATTCAACCTTGTCACTTTTCTCAGCTCATTGCAGCTGTCTCCAGTGCAACTAAAGAATAGCCTCAGATGATTTCTGCACCACACTGCTGTGTGTGTGTGTGTGTGTGTGTTGGCCAGTTTGACATAGCATCACAATAGGGAAGACACTGGTGTGCCTGTGCCAGGTAACTGATTCAAACATTGTGCTTTAAATCTGTCATGGCACCCTTCTATAGAATGTCAACTAAAACTATTTTCAGAGAAAAGAAAAAATATTTTTCTATTGCAGACTCATAAAGTGACTGTTACAGTTTGTGGTTTCATTTCTCTGGGCCCTTAATAGGTTATGGAATCTGGGGAGCTGCCTATGCCCTAATGAGCTAATAACTTTGTATATTTGGAGATATATATGTAGATACAGTTTTGTCCTTAAATTTTCTTTGACTAGGTGGTTGTGGAGGCTAAACCAACTCCATCTTGAATGCTAATCCACCATGTTGATTTCTGATTAAACCCAGTTCTGGGAAGGCCTCTAAGATTTCCAATTTATCTGTTGTTCCTTGTGTAAGAGCATGTACTTACTGTAGCTCCTGTCCTTACGTGAGAACAACCTTGATGTTAACTTACTTCAATTGTCGTACACATCCCTTCTGAATCACCCTTTCCCTATAGCATATAAGCCCTGCGTCGGGGGGTCATGGCAGGGGGATCCACCATCTTGTTTTGCCGCCACCTGAGACACAGACATGGCTTCTCTTCCTACATTCCTATTAAATATTTCTAAGGAAAACAAGAGTTCCCGTAAGAGGTAAGTTTTAGGTCTTTAAAGAAGGGCATGATTGAGAACAGTTATTTTAAAATCAGGCTGTGATGGTATAATTTACATGTAGCAGGAGAAGGAAGAGTGGAGCTGAAAATGACCTGGATCTGGAAGGGTGTGGCAGTAGAGAAGGGGATTGGAAGAGTAACTTTCTCCAAAGATAAGGCATGTGCTTTTTTGTCATATTTTGTCATAGAAACCTGACACATCCATTTGGAGCTTGCCACAGAGACGGCTGGAAAGAGAGTGTGCACTCTGATTCAGAATGGGGAGCTCACTTTTGCCTTGGCGGTTTGCTCTGATAGGTGGTGCTAGTGTTGTACTTTTGATCACACACAAGGAGAGCAATGCTTCCTGAAATTACACCTTATTAAATCTTTGGAAGAAAAAAATTAAAGCTACACATTTGAGAAAGACCAATTGAAATACCTGAATTTGCCATCTATTTAATTAGAATAAGAGACTGTTGCTAAGATACTTGATTGCCCTTTCTCTCTGTTTTGGAGGTGTGGGAAAGAAGTAATGTCCCTGTTTTTTTCCAAGTTAGAAAAAAAATAGTCTTTCCATTCTTTGTGTAAACACATACATCTGTAGGGCAGTGGGCAGTATATATGTATGTGTAGAAAAGGAAATAATGCAGGCATGTGATCAGTTTCTAAGAAATTGAATTATTGGGACTTAGTCCTGAAATAACTCTACAAGTTAACTATCTTAACCTCATTTTATGAATGAGGAAATTTGGACCTTAAAGAAAAAGTTATTCACCAGGGTCACGCAACTAGTTATAATGACCTGAAAGTTGTTTACAATGCTTGATTTAATACGGCCTATAACACATATGCACACACACACACACACACACACACACCCCCTTAGCTAGCAAATGTACAAAGGACTTTAAAATACTGCTAGAAGAGAGGTAAATGGTGATGGTCAGACCAAAATTCTCATGGTCTTTTCCAAGGTCACTGTTTCATGTTGCTTCCAACTCTGACTTATTCCCAAACCTGTAATCTGAGATAAACTCCTCCTGCTAGTCTGCTAAGTCATTTTCTTCTAAGAATCTTTTGTTAATTTATCACAGCCGTCGTTTATAAGCCAATCTGTGACAGAGGGCTAAGATGGCTTCAGGAGGAACCAATTTAGTTATCCAAACTGAAGTGCAGGGCTGCTGTTCTCCTTTATGCCACTGGAAACAAAGCAGGAGAGATTTTTCATTTGTTTACTGTCAATGCCAAATCTCTATATATCCAGACTTCTAAGACCTGACCAAAAACAAATAACCTTTCTACAGAATTTTGCCTTGCAAACTTGGGAAAGACTGAGACTGTGTGTGCACGAGAAAGAGAGATTGGGGGGCGTAGTGCGTGCCTGTAGTCCCACCTACTCAGTAGGCTGAGGTAGAGGAAGCGCTTGAGCCGAGGAGGTCAAGGCTGCAGTGAGCCGTGATTGTGCCATTGCACTCCAGCCTGGGTGACATAGTGAGACCCTGTCTCAGGAAAAAAAGAAGAATGTATGGTTTTCTTTGGGGAGGTTTTATATACCATAGCCAGCATATTGTGAGAGCTGAGTTAACATGAAATAATAAAAATAAAATTCATCTTTGCTCCCACGCTCTGAGAAGAGAATCCTTCATAATAAAAGCTGAAATTTATAGTCCCAGTATTCTTCCCATAAATCCTTATCGTGCTCTTTTCATGTGATGCTTATTAGTAGTGTCATAGGAGCCAGATACTCAGCAGGTGCCTTTTACACCGTCAGGGCTTGGGCTACAACCAGTGCTTTTCCTCCCAGAAACACTAGTGACTCCAGAGAGCTTGTGCGTGGAGTAGCTTTGGTGGCGTCAAAGGCCTTTCTTTCTGACAAGATTGCACGTGTTTAAGGGCAGAGTGCAGTTTGTTTCCTTTGACCATGTAAACAAAGCTTTTGGTTTTTTGGAAGACTCAAGCTGAGTATGTGATTCATGAATTGTCTTAAGGCACACAATTGAGAAGGATCTTGCTGTTGATACATACATTTTGTGTGTGTGTTTTTCTCGAGACGGAGTCTTGCTCTGTCTCCCAGGCTGGAGTGCATTGGCAAGATCTCGGCTCACTGCAACCTCCACCTCCTGGGTTCAAGCCTCCTGAGTAGCTGGGATTACGGGCGTGGGCCACCACTCCCAGCTAATTTTTTGTATTTTTAGTAGAAACGGGGTTTCACCATGTTGGCCAGGCTGGTGTCAAACTCCTGACCTTGTGATCTGCCCGCCTCAGCCTCCCAAAGTGCTGGGATTACAAGTGTGAGCCACCGTGCCTGGCCATTTTTTTTTTTTTTTTAATGACAGTGTTACTCTGCTGCCCAGGCTGGAGTGCAGGGGGAGGATCTCGGCTCACTGCAACCTCCACCTCTGGGTTCAAGCCATTCTCCTGCCTCAGCCTCCTGAGTAGCTGGGATTATGGGTATGGGCCACCATGTCTGGCTAATTGTATTTTTAGTAGAGCCAGGGTTTCACCATGTTGGCCAGGCTGATCTCGAACTCCTGACCTCAGGTGATCCGCCCACCTCGGCCTCCCAAAGTGCTGGGATTACAGGTGTGAGCCACTGCACTCGGCCCACCCAAGAAGTTTTTAAGTGATAGTTCATCTTAGAATCAGCGACATCGTAGAATAAAAGATATACTGGTAGTGAAACATTTGGCTGATATCAATACATATGGTTTATCCTCATTCTGTTGGAATCTAGTCTCGTGTCAGTGTGTGTTGACCGCACGAGCCATGTTGCCCATTGGACCTTCCTGTTCCAATAGTGAGATTGTCACTCTACCATGGGCCTCATGTTGCTGGCTGAAGTTGGGTGGTCTTGGCATAATTCTGGGAATGAGGGCAGATGTTAAAACTGCCCTGATCTTCTCTTGTTTCAGTGCACGAAGGCAGCCCTCTGGGTGAACTCCATCGCTGTATCCGCGAGGGGGTGAAGGTGAATGTTCACATCCGCACTTTCAAGGGACTTCGGGGCGTCTGTACAGGCTTCCTTGTTGCATTTGACAAGTTCTGGAATATGGTAATTAAGCCTTTCTCACAGGGCGGGAGAGCCTCCCACAGATTACATCTTCTATATATTTAAAGGACCTGAGTAACTACATTAAGCAAAACCCAAAAAATAACTTCTCAGAAGAACTAGAATTTTTGCATGCTTTTGGGCAACAACAGAAAAAGGTCTTTTTATTGCTTCCTTCTCCTTAAGGCAGTGGCTCTTAACCAAGGTGATTTTGTTCTTCCTTCCCTCCCGGGAACATTTGTCAATGTTTGGAGACATTTTATTGTCACCACTGTAGGAGGGGATACTACTGGCATCTACTAGGTAGAGGCCAGGGTTGCTGCTAAACAGTCTGCAGTTCACAAGATAGTCCCTCAACAACAAATAATTATCCAGTCTGAAAAGTCATTAGTGCCAAGGTTGAGAAACCCAGCCATAAGGACCAGTTATTTTATTGGTTTAGTAACTTTTAGTTGATTTTCTACCAACCATTCTTTCATTAATTTAAAAACATTTATTGACTTCCCACTTTGGCTGAACCCCATGCTAGGTGCAAAAGTTTCAGAAAGGAACTTGCACTCTGCAGTACATGGGAAGGTAAATAAGGATAGAGGTGAAGCAGACATCAGTAAACAAAGCATTTTGCATGATGTCTTTTTGGGTTTTTTTGAGACAGAGTTTCGCTCTTGTCGCCCAGGCTGGAGTGCAATGGCGCAATCTCGGCTCACTGCAGCCTCCGCCTCTTGAGTAGCTGGGATTACAGGCGCCTGCCACCAAGCCCAGCTGATTTTTGTATTTTTAGTAGAGATGGGGTTTCACCATGTTGGCCAGGCTGGTCTTGAACTCCAGACCTCAGGTGATCTGCCTGCCTCAGCCTCCCAAAGTGCTGGGATTACAGGCATGAGCCATTGTGCCCGGCTGCATGGTGGTTTTATAATGAGGGAGTGTGCCACACTTCCTAGCCTTCTAGAGGCTTACTGTCTTTTTTCCTAGACATTTGTAGGAGAGAAGCGATATGTAATAGCACAACTATAATTTGAGGTGGTTAAGAACCACCAGGCCATGTGCGGTGGCTCAGGTCTGTAATCCCAGCACTTTGGAAGGCCGAGGCAGGCAGATCACCTGAGGTCAGGAGTTTGAGACCAGCCTGGTCAACATAGGGAAACCCCATCTCTACTAAAAATACAAAATTAGCCAGGCTTGGTAGCACACATCTGTAATCCCAGCTACTCAGGAGGCTGAGGCAGGAGAATCGCTTGAAGCTGGGAGGCGGAGGTTGCCGTGAGCCAAGATCGTGCCACTGCACTCCAGCCTGGGTGACAGAGCAAGACTCTGTCAAAAAAAAAAAAAAAAGAACCCCCAGAGCTTGCTGGTGTTTCTTTTCCATTTGGTCTTCTTTCCTTTTCCCTGTGCTTCATCCCCATCCATGCATCCTCCTGGAAAAGAACAGTAGCTGCTGACATATATTGAGTTCCTGCTGTGTGCCAGATACTATACTGAGGGCTTCATATGTTACCTCAATGAATGAGTTGTTCCATTTCACAAATGAAGAAATTGAGTCTAGAGAGATTGGAATATTGCTCACAGATCACACCGTCAGTAAGTGGAAGTGTCAGACTTTTTCCTCGGTCTTTCTAACTCCTAAAACCATGTTTTCAACCATTATGGAATTTGAATCCTAGCTTCACCACTTGGTAACTGTGTGACTGTAAGCAAGATAATTTCTCTGAGCCTCAGTTTTCTCATTTCCAAAATGTAGGGAAAAATGTTTTATTATGATAGTTTTACCCTTGAAGGAAAGAATTGAAGAGAATGTATTAGGCGATAGTGGTGATTATAACAGTACTGTCAACTTGTATTTGTAGGGTGATTTACACTTTTCAAAGGAATTAGTCTTATACATCTCATTTGGTCCTAACAGCTGTCCTGTGAGGTTGCTCTCGGTGATGAGAACTCACCAGCAAGTCTGTGTGTAACCCTGGTTAATTTCTGTTCATTGCTTTCATAAGACATAGAAATTGAAGAGGGTAAAGAAGCAGTAGTGTTCCTCAAAGTGGGGTCCGAAGCCATCCTGCATCAGAATAACCTGGGGCTTCTGGCTGAAACAAAAGGTTCCTGGGCTTCATCCCAGACCTACCAAAATAGAATCTCCAGCAGAATAGCTTTGGGTTTGTATTTTAATAAACCTCCTAGATATTCTTGCACACTGAAATTTAAGACCTTCTACCATGCAGTCATAAAGACCCTTACCATCTGTAGGTGAAACCCATCTTATATGGTGATAGCAGCTTAAAAATACTACACAGAAGGTACCAGGTGTCACCATTTTCTTCTGCCTAGGAGCTGAGTCACCTGTTAAGTGTAGTTCTGCTCTGAATAGATGTTATTCTGCCTTTTTTTCCCTGAAAAAGCTATACAAAAAATTTTTTAATTCTGTCTAATGTTTTTCCTTTTGGACTGTTCCTCTAGGCACTTACTGATGTGGACGAGACCTACCGAAAACCTGTCCTAGGCAAAGCATATGAACGGGATTCTTCACTGACTCTCACTAGGGTAGGCAGTTTCCCCCTGACCTCCTGAGTAGCCATCATGCTTTCCAGCTTAGGAATTGAGATCCCTGAGTCCAGTGACTAGGATTTCCTAGAGAGAAATCTCTGTTGCTATAAACCAGCTGTGCCTGTACCAAGGTCTTCCTTAGTTTCTCTTTTCATGCTTCCAGTGAATCTCAAGTGAGTCTGTGCTTGTAACCTGCATATTATTTGAGGAGCAAGTTGTCTCTTACAACACTTGAAAGTCTTTGAGTTTTATACCACAGAAATAAGCCTTTTCTCTTGACATACGTATTATCTGCACTATAGTTAGAAATAGGAAGTTTATGGCCAGGCGTGGTGGCTCATACCTGTAATCCCAGGACTTTGGGAGGCTGAGGCGGGTGAATCATGAGGTCAGGAGATCGAGACCATCCTGGCTAACACAGTGAAACCCCGTCTCTACTAAAAATACAAAAATTAGTTGGGCAGGGTGGCAGGCGCCTGTAATCCCAGCTACTTGGGAGGCTGAGGCAGGAGAATCGCTTGAACCTGGGAGGTGGAGGTTGCACTGAGCTGAGATCATGCCATTGCACTTCAGCCTGGGTGACAGAGTGAGACTCTGTCTCCAAAAAAAAGAAAGGAGATTTATTACTAACTTAAAAAATTGCAAAGCAAGGAATCCACAGAACATAATTAAAGAATTTGGTCTTTTTCTGTATGTTGAAAGAGGGTGATGAAGGCTAAAGAGAAGGCTAATATTTATCATTGTTTTCTTTATAGCTATTTGATCGACTGAAACTTCAAGATTCCTCCAAGAAGGAAGCAGATTCTAAGTCTGCAGTTGAAGATTCCACTCTGTCTAGATACTCACAGACATCCACTTGGAAGTTGGCTTCAGTGTGGGGAAGAGGAGACACTGACCGGGGCTCACACAAGCGTTCCCGCTCTGTCCCTTCTTCCCTGCAGGCCTCTGCAAGGGAGGAGTCCAGGTCAGAGCTGTCAGGGAGGACTACACGGACCGAAGGCTCCAGTGTGGGAGGTACCTTTTCCAGGGCTACCACCCTTTCCAGAGGCCAGTCCCGTAAGAAAAAGCGAAAGCCCAAAGTGGATTACCAGCAGGTATTCACTCGACACATAAATCAGATTTTCATTCGAGGCGAGAATGTCCTGCTGGTTCATCTTGCACAGTGACCAGCTCAGCCTGGGCTTTGGTTTTTAGAAATAAAATGCATGAATTGCTGCTATGCTGTATCCTAGTATCCCAGTGAAACTCTGAGTTGGAATGATTCCCTGTGGTCCTGCATAAGCAGAGGACAGAGCAGGCTCAGCCCCCTGGAAGATGAGCTCAAGGGGAGGACAGGCCTTGGGAGGGCGGGCATTTGCATTAATATCAAGGCAAAAAGCATACATACATACATGCATCTGATTTGGTATCGTGATTTACTTCAGACCCTGAAACCAAATATCTGATCTTCCATTAGACTTAGGGGTCACAATATGAGTGGAACTTACTTTTTAGAGACTATAGGGGAAAGAAATCTCAAAAAGTATTGCATGTCTAAAAGCTAGTGCCCTGAGTACTCATGAATTCGATTCCAAGAGTAGCAGTGTAAGTTGCCTTGGAGCCCTGCATTCACATCTTGTAACTAACTTTTGAATTTTGCCTGACATGATTCTCTCTTGATGAAGAAATGAAATGTATTGTCTTTGAATATCTACAAGATCTAGGAAAGTTACCAACTTATGTAGGGGTGGAATTTGGGTAGGTGGTATGCCCATAGCAGCCAGCAACCAGTGTTCTGTTTTCATCCTTCTTCTTCTTATGGAAAGGAATGCAGGACCTCTTCAGTCTTCCCCTTACCAGAGGTAGCCTCTGCAAATGGCATACCAGATGGGACTCTAAGATGCTTGTGTGGTGGCTTCTTGTCCTTCTCTTTGACTTCTGTGGCATGGTGCTAGTGCATGTACCCTGTGGTATTGCCCCTCTGTCCGTAGTGTGAACTGTCCTGTGAACTTTATGTCAGGAGACTGTGACCTTCATGTCCAGCTTCAAAGAGTTCTTCATGAACTCAGTAATACACATCACATGGCTGAGAGTCCGCTTTCCAGGCAGGGCCAGCATGTGTAGAATATCTTTCAGAATGTTCACCATGAAACAGGGGTGGTAGATGTATTCCCTTGTGTCGGGCCAAAGAAGTTCTTACAAAGTACAGTGGGTGGTGTCTAAAGGGACACTTTACTCACAGCCTGGCTTGAGTAACAGGAACACCATAGCACCCGCAAATACTTCTACTTGAATCATACTCTGTGCTTTTTCAATCACTAATGCAGAATAGGCTGCATCTTGACACAGACTGTTAGGCAATATTGATTTTTTTGTTTTGTTTTTATTTGGTTTTATCTGAGATAACTCATGTTCAAGGTGGGAATAAGAAATAGCCAACTAGTTAAAATGTATGAAAAGAAAACTTTCCCCTGCTGTATTTGTTGTGTAACATAAATAAGCCTTCTGAGAAGCAGGGTGAATAAAGTTTAGGGAGCTGGGACACCTGGTCCTTCTGCTAGCTGGACCACTGGCTCATCATGCAATGAAAGGTGAGCAGATTTAACCCCTCTGTGCCTCAGCTTTTTCCCCACAGACACCTACCTCACAGGGGCATTGAGACAAAAATTAAAGAAAGGCATTTTACAGTCTCTAAACATGTTTAAGTGCCATGAGTAATTTTTCCTAACTCTGTTTCATAGCTTTGTAAGAATTCTGTGTCTTATAAGCAAGGCAGGTGCTACACAAAAAAGTAATCTTAGCTGGGCGCAGTGGCTCACACCTGTAATCCCAGCACTGTGGGAGGCCGAGGCGGGTGGATCACGAGGTCAGGAATTCGAGGGCATCCTGGCTAACACGGTGAAACCCCGTCTCTACTAAAAATACAAAAATTAGCTGGGCGTGGTGGCGGGC